GACAGACAAAAATGGTAAACAATGTACTTTGAGTTGAGACGGATCAAGTATATGTTATTCACATTTATTGTTTGTGATTTTAATGATATATAATTGTGGTAAGGATTATGAATCTACATGTAAGCAATGTCTAAGCTTCATGTAGCTTGCGTGTCGGGTATCACAATATTAGTAAAAATAATTATATATTAAAATCAAGATGATTAATTAGTCTAATTAAAATTAAAAAAATATAAATTATAAAATTTAAAATAAATTAAAGTTTCAATCTTTTTTCAAAAATAAAAAATGAAATAAAATATAAAACGGACAAAAATAATAATATGGAAATAATAGGTGGACTTAGGGTGTAACAAAAAAAAGTCTCTACACATACAATATTTTACTAAATGAGACGGCAAAAGTAAACATATACTTTTTGGATAGATGAAAATTAATTTTTCTTTAATTATTTTTTTTTTAAAAAAAGATAAGTATATATTTTTCAATAAATTAAAACTAAAAATAATTTTTATTTTATTTTATTTTTCATAACTTTTATCTAAACAGAGGGTCAATAATTCGAGTGTATATCGGACAAAATTGCCATTCGAGTGCTTGTATGGACAAATATTTGTGCCAATTCATTAATAACTTTCTAAATTCATTTACTCCATTCCTCCGTCTCATAACAAAGTATCAATTTTTTCATTTTAGTTCATCTATAACAAAGTATTTATTTCTTTTTTTAGTAAATGTACTATCAACCTAACATTACAAATATCCTTACAACTTACAATATATTATACATATGAACAAGGTTATTTTTGTCATTTCTATTTTATTTCTACTATATTTCAATATAATACTAATATTTCTAAAATTACGTGCAAAAAATAAATGAATATTTACTTATAGGACGGAGGGAATATATCTTCTGTCTGCTGAAACCTATTATTTATTTTATTATTTTATCTGAAATATATATAGTTTGAATTCTATTAATACGCATAAATAATAACACGCGATGGACCTGAAATTAAAATGGTAGCTACATATTATTTACTTATTTTAATATTTTTATTTAGGATAAATTATATAACATCCTCGTGTTTTACCTTAAGATACATATACTGAATTCAACTTTGACATATTTTATATGAATTGTTAACATATATTGTCAATTTATATTATGAATTTGTGTTATATGGGTTTGTTTATTTATATTTTTTTATGAATATATTTTTTATATTAATTATAAGAAATCGTATCGGTAATTATAAAAATAATATTTTTTTTTATTAAATTATTGATTTTTTTGTTAGTAATAAAATATATATTATATATTATGTTAATAATATAGAGAATCGTGTCACCCAAATAAAATATTGGATGAACTAGCCCGGTTATGTTACGTGTGGATTATTATTACCCTATTATGTTTATATTGTATATGTCAATTAGCCCTAATTAACAAACTAACTAGTGTGTGCATATATTATACTTCCGTCGTCCCATAAGTAAATATTCATTTGTTTTTTGCACGTAATTTTAGAAATAATAATCTTATTAGTGTGTGTGATATAAAGGTAATGATATTTGTGTAACATATTGTAAGTTGTAAGGGTATTTGTAATGTTAAGTAGATAGTATAGATACTTTATTATGAGACAGACTAAAATAAAAAAATGAATACTTTATTATAGGACGGAGGGAGTATATGATGTAAATGTTGAAAATTCCAAAATAAAAAAAAAATAAAAAAGTTAGATGGTGAAAATAAATTTAAAAAGAAATAATAGAAAAGGAATATGCATATATATATATATATATATGTAGGTCATTGTCAAAAAATGAAACGTTGGTGCATTGATTTGGACAAGTCATAAGGCATGTCGTGTACCAAATGCATCCATGCTTTTGATGCATTTTCAATGACATTTTAAAAAATTTAAAGTATATATATCTACACAATAAAATTATATACCCCCTCTATAGTAATTATTTAAAAAAAATATTAAATTAAATATCTATTTCATTAATTGTTGAATTTAATTATACAATATATTAAATAGTAAAAAGATATGTGTTGCAAGTTGTTGGATGTCATATTATATATATATTGAACCATACAATATAGGAATAAATGATTTATAAATTATACTAACGTAATATAAATAAAATATATGAACTGATAACATATAATATAAGTACGGACAATACACCATACGGAGACAGACAACATATTATATAGAGACATACAACATATGTAAATTACGACACATGATTAACTAACTACTCACGACATAATTTTATAGATCACATGATATATGAATCAGACAACACACAATATACAAACATACATCAAATAAACTATATTAACATAATACAAATAAAATAAATAAATTAAGAGTACATGATATATTGTTTTACACAACATATGTTATATTTGATTTTAGTATAAGAAGTATATTCATACAACACATGTGCGTGTTTTTATTTAACACAATATATGATATTCTTTTATATGTGTTGTTCTTTGTTTTATATGTATTTAAACAGCATCATAGCTATCCGATGTTCTACATATATATATATATACATTCTTTTTATTTCAATAATTTATGTTGACCTTAAATCTGAAAATTATTTATAATATATTGTCAATTGAATAAATGCGTTATGTTTAATCCCTCTATATGTTAAGGTGTTCCATTGATTATTATTTCAGTCGATTGTTAGAGATCAATCGATGTCGTGTTGATAAGGTTAATTTCATAATTTGAAGAACGTAAAAATAACATAAAGTATTAATTTTTTCTATTTTTGTCTATTTTACATGATTTATTTTTAAAAATATATATATATATACAATTATACACTTTAATTATATTTTAAATTTTATAATTTACAAGTTTTTAAATCTCAATTAAATTATTTAGTTGTCTTAAAATACAATCAATTTTTTTATTTTTCTCACTAAAAATCACATCAGAAATTTAATTTTTTACTATTCTTATATTTTTTAAAATTTCAAAATTTCAAAACTTATATCTAAGGTGAACTTATAATTTACTTTCCTCTCAAATTAATAATGTGGACTAAGTGATGTGACTTGGTGGTTGTGACAAAATAAATTTACCTACCTTCATTATTTCAAGTATATATATACTTAATGCAACCATACATTTTTGAATTCTATCACTCAAGAAATTTAAGAGGGAAATGAATATTAGTTTACTTGTGTTTTTGTTTTTCTTAGTTGATTGAATTTGATATTTTGTAAACATATATTTATAAAAAATAATAAAGATTTATATAGTAAATTAACTATAAAAAAAAAATAAAAATCAAAATAAGCAGTTATATAGATTGTAAGGACTTGTATGTAATAAAGAATATGTATTGAAACGAGTCTTGTTTGTACATGTCGACATAGAAAAATGTATATCTACAGAGAGTGTATTATTTGCCTTATATATTATTATTAATAATTAAAAATTACAATTCTTATCATATATTTCTTTTTAAATAAAATATACTACGATATGAATTATTTTTATATAAAGCATGAAATATACATATATTTTAAAAAGGAACATTAATATATACGTATATATTATTTAATGAGTTTTTAAAAGTTTAAAATGGTAAAAAATTTATTTTAATTATTTTAAATGGACACTGTCCTTTTTTTTTTTTCGAATATTTCCTGCAATGAATTCCCTTAAAATTTATTCAAAACTATATACTAATTAAATTGCGATCACACGAACATTTCCATTTGAACTTTGAAGCAAATTTACAAGAGCAAAAGGACAAACAAAAGAATCTTAACGAATAGTAATAATAATAATTTAAAAAATATATATTAATAAATTAGTAATATAATTTTATTTATATTATTATTATTTTAAAAAAAGAGACATTTGAATTATAGAAAAATTATATAAATCCATGAATAAAGTGAAAAATGTACATATAAGCGTGGAACCATTTATGTGTCCCACCACTACATTCTCGAAATTAATATTTTGGTTATTATTTTTGGGAAAAAGTGAAAAGTAGAAATTGCTTTGAATCACTCTTGACTCATGTAATTTTATTTTATTTTACTTTTGTATCTTACTTTATCATTATTCTTTTCTGTCATATGAATGTTCTTCTTTGCATTTGTCTCAGCATGCTCTGTAATAATAAATAAATAAGGATATTTTAATGATCCGACAAGTTTATTTTTTCGAACAGACACATACAGTTCTTAAAATAATGAAATAAATTTACTGTCTACAAATACAATCTATCAAATATTATGTTTTTAATTTGATATTTTTATTTATTTATTTGTCTTTTATGCTCTGATTTATTTATCTTGGTATAAAATAAGTGCAGTTAGTATCATATTCTAGTACACATTAATGTTATGTTCCTAATGAGTGTACTAAATAATCTTAGAAAAAAAAAAAAAAAAAAGCACGAGGAAGTTTATAGTATTGGAAATTTAAATTTTGTTTAAAAAAAAAAAGAAAGAAGAGAGGAAAAAAAAAAACACAACAGTTCAAAGAAACTTGTAGAAATTTTATAAATTTTTTTGTTACTCTAATAGTCTAAATTATACAGTATATATATTGTGGTTTGTCAAATATAAATATATATTTTTTATTTTATACTAAAATACTAGTATTAATTTTTATATAAATTATAAATACGCCTGAACAAATTCTTAATTCTAGTGAATCCATATGATGGTAAATTTGTCGAAATATTCCAACACATTTTCATTTACAAATAAAATATTAGTATTATATTTTTTATTATTAGAATTTTAAATATTTATAATTAAATGAGACGGTACAAAATAATAGCATTGGGCCAATAATCCGAATTGGGCCAATATTAAGGTTATTTCTTGTTCTTGCCCAAGTCTGTTATCTTATGCTCTAAATTAAATAATTAATTAGGAATTAAATTGCAATAATATACATAATAAAAGTAAATAAATCAATAAATAAATGGCGTGATTTAATAAAATAACCGGTGCCATATTTTACATACTATTATTAATAATCAATTTTTAGTGAAATAATACAGCATAATTATTGGAACCCTAATTTCAAGTAAACTTCAGCCGTCGGGGAAGACGCCGGAATCATTTCTCCTGTTGCCGCCGCCGGCGAGTTCGTGCACGGCGCCGCCCGTCGGCAATGTATCCGCATGCTTTCTTTTCCATTTGCTTCTCGAATCGGCTACTTCCTTCTCGTTCACAAATGACAAAAATCTCTGTATCCTTACCGATCGCGAGCTACTTTGATACGAAATTTCCGATTGGGGAGGTACGTAATCCCTTTTAAACTTGTAGACCGTTTTGCAGAAGAAAATGGCAACGGCGAGCAAACACGCGCAGCCGGAGAGTAGGAAAAGCCCCCAAAAGCTCTTCAATTGAAGCTGTTCCAAGTTCGCCGTGGTCGACGCGCCACACGCGCGCTTGTTCAGCCACTTATCGTGTATCTTCTGGAGCTCGCCGTTCTCCGATAATGTCAGAATCGCCGTCGACATGTCCATCGCCAACGGCGAGTCTCTCAAGAAGGCCTGCAAATTTACAAATTAAAACTATTTTCATACCAAATTGTGAAATTTTTTACTTACAAATCCCCATCCACTCTTTGTGAATTCTTGCCCAACAATCTGATACTTGCAGTAGGTTGCAAGGAATAGCTCAACGTAGGGACGTTCGTCAACGATCGCGGCGATCCTGCCGGAGTCCAGAGCGGCGGCGTACTCCTCCGGCGAGCCAAGAGAGATGAGTCTCGATTTCGCAATGTGGAGTTCTTGAGTTAGGTAGCCTTCGGCGAATGATCCAACTTGGAATCCAATGCGAACGTTGCTCGTGATCAAGGACTCAATGCCTCGGATCGACGGGGCTAATTGCTGCACCGTGAGGATCGAGGTCAAGCTCGCCGTGTAGCTTGACGTTATGATCAGAACAACGAATAGCCATATGATTAGAACCATCCGGCCAAGTGAGCTTCTCGTGTTTTCCCCTGAAACACGATACACATTTTAAAACAGGGGAGTCGAATCAATAGATCAATCGATAGGCGACGTCGATTGGTGCTTACTATGCGAGAAAAACATTGTCGAGAAACCGAACCTGCATGGAGACATGAAGAAGATGCATGAGATTGCAAAGCATTCGAAGTTTTCGATCGATCGATAGAAGCGATAAGTGATCACCATAAGATTGTGATGATCTGTTTCCTCGGCGGACCGCGAAAGTCGTCGTTTATTTTGTGTTCGAGAATCCAGACGACAACCCCGACGATAAGGAAGAACGCTCCGGTGACGAGCCACATCGACGGAGTGAATGGGCGCATAAAGGCCCAAGCGCTCGAGTTCAACTTCCGGATCGGGACAACGACAACGAGGCCGGACTCGATGTACGGCTGGGTGAAGTCAACGAGCTTCGTACGCTCCGTTACAATCGCAATGTCGCCGATTGCCGCATCGAAGACCTGCACATCAAGCAAGATATGATCATTTCCGAACACTCGAAGAACATTACGTTACGCGTAAACTTACGTTCGAAGTGATCTTCGTCACCAGCTCCGTGTAGTTAGGATTCTCGCGGTTATCTCCGAACAAGATGAACTCATACGGTGCCGCGTAAGGAAGCAAGTTTACGGCTGCGAGGAACACATCGATCGAATATCCGCGGATTTCGTTCGTACTCTCGTCCATCGACACAAACGCCTTGTAACTCACCCTCTCCGGGATACCGATCCTTAAACGTCGCCCGCTGTGAGGAAAAACCCATCCTCTCGGCTTGACCGTCGTTCGCCCCGGCCATATAACGCTCCGTAGTTTCTTATCAGTCCTCGATCGATTAGCCCCCCCGGCGCAAAGTGTCTCCGGCGACTCGATGGAGAGGCCTGAGCAATTAGTCCAGTAGCCTATTTGCTTGTAGCCTCTCCCGACGATGTTCAAAACGTCGTAAGACGGCTGAATGATGGACTTATGATCGTCGAACGCAATGCGCCCGGCCAATCCCGTGCTATTTGTTCGAAGTATGATGTCCAGCACCTTTTCTCCTTCGACGAACCGGCTTAACGAGCCAAGATCCAACCCCCCGGCCGTTGCGCCTTTAAAATTCGATTCATTCGAAAAGGATATGATCCCGCCATGGTCCATAAACGTCTTGACAGCATCGACGATCATCCACACCGTGTCGTAAGCGTACAAACCGTAAGGATTCAACCCGACGTAATCCGAGCCATCGCTCAACTTGTGCCATCGTGACGAGAAAGCCTTCTTCCTGTCCGAATCCGGCGTGTGCGGCCTAAACGTGATGACGCCTTGGATAGTTTCCGCAATCTCGAAAGAAACGCGGGTCGAATCCAACACCGTCGACAGCCAAGCTGTGGCGATCCAAACATATCCCCTGTCCATCATGCCGAGCCGCTGGGCCGTCTCGAGCACAAGGAGGCCGACAGAGGCGAAGGCGTGGACGATGATCACTCGCGACTCCATCAGCGAAATCTTAACCAACTCGCGCATAATTTCGTCGCTCGTGGCTAAGGTTCCCGGCGAAAGCAACGCTTTGTAGGTGATTCGACAACGCCTTTCGGCTAATTTTTCGCCTAGAGCGATTATGGTCCCCATATTTTGTTCGTCGTCCGGGTAGACGACGACGACCTCTCTATATCCGTAGTAACTCAACACGTCGGCTACGGCGATCATTAGGAAAAGATCGTTGGGAGCGGTTTGGACGAAGTACGGGTACTGAAGAGACGCGAGGCTCGGATCCAACGCCGTAAACGACAACATCGGAACGTGAAGCTCCTTGGCGAGGTGGGCGAGGATGTGAGCCATCCCGGAGACTTGTGGACCGATAATCGCAACGGTTTTATTCCCCATGTACTGCAAGGCTGTGTTGAAACCAGAGAATTAGTCGATTTTATACAGCATTTGTTGTTTATAATAATAATAATAAATAATAAATAAATAAAACAGTGAAATTAGTCGATTCGAATACCTCCGATTATGCTGAGGAAGCTGCTGTAGTTGGAGTCGTGCATCGAGAGAACGAGTTTGTGGCCTCGAAGAATTCTGGGATCCGAATTGACATCTTCGACTGCGGCGTTCATTGCGATCTTGGCGACTCTGCCGTTGATCGTGCCGAATGAGAAAATGGCCCCGACATGAATGGTATCGGGGCTCGGACTCCGAGCCCCGACGTCGACGTCGTAAGCTCCTCCGATTAGTAGCAGGGAGAGGAAGAAGAAGAAGAAGTTCATTGTGGAAAGCATAGTTAGTTAAACACAAGGCTGCAGAGTGAAGAAGATGAATGGTGTTTCATGGTACATTGATATGTAGAGTGAAAGGAATTCTGGAAGATAGCTTTTGATGGAGTTAAGGATAGGATTGTTTGCCTGGAATTAAACAAGTTTGGTTAAATGGCAAATGTATAGTACATTTGGACCATGTGTTTTATTTAATTTATATATTTGTTGTTAGTTGACTAACTATATTATGTGTCCGTACAAGATACACTCTTTTTTTTTCTTTTTTTTTTTAAATTTTTTTATTTTTTTTAAATGATGCGGAATCCGCAGCAGCTATTCGAAAGTAGATACTAGGTAAACTTTCGGTCACCTAATACCCTACAAATTAGGCCCGACGGGACAAGATACACTTATATATATATGCTATTGAACATTCTGTTGAATAGATAATCTCGAATGAATGAAAATATGATGAAATTGAATTCCGCATGGTATACACGATCTTGGATATATGTTGAGTCGTTTAGATTTTCTTTCCTTATACGATCTTTCGACCCTATTAACGCCCCGGGTTACACGAAATTTGTACGATGATAAAACAAAACAACATTCGAATTTTAGGCGAAAAATTGAGCAAGTAAATTATTTGTGCATTAAGAATATATTTTCCAAAATCCTGAAGAAAGAAGAATTCTGAGAGTATTGTGCCGGTGACTTTTTGTTAATGTTTGTGTCTCTTTCTTATCTCTCTTTTCTCTATGCTTGAAGATTAAATGCCTCATTTGAAAATAATAATTTTTAAACAATATGTAATATAATTTTCACCTTCATTATATTATTTCACACTTCGTTCAATATCGTATAGGCATTCTTGAACGCGCATCCTATGCGACCCTTCTCGAAAATAGCTCGATAAATCCAATAACAACAAAATAACCAACACATTTTTAGTTATATAGACCACTAAGGGCATATATCGTTATTATCTCGTTGACTATATAGTATACATGCATCATGATGAACTAACCCTACCTCATGATGAAAAAAAAAAAAAAAAAAAACCTTACTTGATGATACTCTTTTCATTCTCGTGTAATATGAATGATGCACCAAGGTATGAATGTAAGCTATATGCAAGAATATACTAATGATTTGTTTACTTGATTTTCAATTTTATATTTTTATTTTAAGTTTTGATTTTAATGTTAATCGAGTCCGCATGAATTTTTTTTTGAATTTTTTATTTTTAAAAAAATAACACATACTAATAGAGTTCGTGTAAGACTTATAATATGTAAATTTTTTCTTCAAATATTCTAACATTAGCACCTCGGTTTGTACTCCAACACTGACCAACTTTGAGGGCTTCAATTCTTAAAAATTCTTAGACAAGAATGGTTGTGGTCGCAGTCGCAGTCGTGGTCATGTCCGGGCCACAACATCTAGTGGGATGGATCATATGAAGACACACGCATGCAGCAAAAGAGAAAGGAATGGACATTAATGCAATATTTGTTTTGTTAAGGATACAGCTGAGAATAGCTACGGTGCTATAATTGAAACGTTATCAGCACATAAAATATAAACTGTTAATAAATAAACAAAATACAATATGTGGTTTATAGATAATTGTTATCATGTATTATGTACTCTTAGTCATATTTCGTATATGTATTATATGAATATATATTTTTGTGCTGATATCATTGGTGTAAACTATTATCATATTTTGTTAGTTAATATATTGTATTTATATCAACGGCGCTGTGCTAAACAGCACATCGTGTGCTATTAGACAGTACATAATATTATTATAAACAACACACTGTATATGTTAATATAATACAAATACAATATATGGACAAAACACACATCTTATAGTCTCAACAACACACAATATTACTACAGACAAGACAACGCATTGTATATGTTAATATAATACAAATATAGCACGTGAACTAACAACACATGCAATGGTCTCATGCAACACACAACAAAATAATTGATTTTTAGCACATGACATACTTGTTATTATTAAAAAAAACAACACGTACCTTTATTATACACAACATATGTTGTGTGTAATACTAATGTGTGTTGTTTGTATATATAACGCGTATTGATGTGGAAAAATCAACAAATTAATACTATAATCATCCCTTAATATATTGTATTTATGTTGTGTGTAATACTAATGTGTGTTGTTTGTATATATAACGCGTATTGACGTGAAAAACCAGCAAATTAATGCTATAATAATCCCTTAATATATTGTATTTATTTTAATATATATATATATTGCACTATTAATTTATATTTTACTCCTACGTGTCTATAATTCATGTAGTATGAGTACATGTTGAATACTCTCATCTAAATGTTAAATGTTAATATGACTGTTAACTAATTATGTTGTGTTGGGCCATGGGTGTGTTCTTGTTTATCTCCATCTCCATTTACATGTATACATGTTTTTCATTTATCATCATCAATTTCCATGGAAATGGACAACTCGACCCACTTGCCCATGCCCACACCAAGTGGAGGAATACATTGTACAAGCATATAAAAACATTTAAATTAATTATATAATTGATTAATAGACAGTAGTATTTGTATTATCATGACTAGTAGTACAATGAATGGAAAGGGGCAGTCACTCAAAGAGTCTGAAACTGTAACCACTTGGACAAGACGACCTACCGCACATTGCCTCATCCCTTATTCAGTACTCCATTCGTTTCATTTTCAATGGAAATTTTTCCATTTTGGTCTGTATCACTTATTTTGTCATTTTTTAAAAAAAAATAATTATATATTTTAATTTTATTTTTAAAATTTAATTTATAATTTTTTTAATTTTAATTATATAATTAATTATTTTAATTTTAATCTTAATATATAATTATTTTTATTATATAATAATTATTTTTAATAATATATTTTTAATTATTTATTAATTATACCTAAATTCTCGCGTGTAATACGGACAAAATATCGGGCAAGAGGGAGTACTACTACTACTATTTCACTATTTCTTATGCCTTAATCATTACACTACTACTGTAGTAGTGGTAAGACTTTAATATTCTACTTGTAGGGGTACTTTTGGTTTGCTTGCTATTGGAATACAGATAATTGATATTCCTCTTTCCTAACTAAATAAACAAATTTAAAATGATGTGACAGTGGAATTTAAGGGTGTGTTTCCTTCCAAGGTTTTCAAGTAATTTGTGTTTGAGTTTTATTTTTATTTGAATTTTGAGATGAGTTTGAATTTTGATATATATTTTTTTTGTTTGAATTTAGTTGAAGTTTGAGGAGTTTTGATATGTATTGATTTGATAGGTATGAATATAATAATATAAATATGTATTAAATTGTATAATTTAATTATAAATTTATATTATATCTACATATATATATATATTTTTAATTTTGTATTTAATTATATTATAAAAAATTATTTTCTACAAAATAATATATATTATTTATATTTTATTAAATTATAATTATCATAATTTTTTTTTTTACATTTATAATTAAAAAAAAAAAAAAAGGGAGAGAGAGCCTCCAAACCCGCTTCAGCCTTTTGGGCTGGATTACTGTTCAGTGTTTGCACACTGATCCGGCCCAAAACTGTTTATACAATGATTCAGTCTAAAATTGGGCCGGATAAACACACTCTAAGTAAATGGATTATTAGATTATTTATATTAATAATGTAAATATATTTCGGTCTCAATAGAGTTATCTCCATTCCAAGAGTTGTTTTGTTTTTTTATTTTCGTCAGTTTTAAAACAATTGTCTGATTTTCTTATTTAATAATGGTATCCCCATTTTATAAAAATTATTATTACTTTTTCAAACTACCCTTAATTATTATCAACATAGATTAAGTGTTGAATCCATAAAAATTAGCACTGCTGGTAATAATCATAACCTTTAATCTTACTTACTTTTGTATAATTATGATTATAGATGCAAAATTAGTGGCTGAGATTATATTCAACAATGCTGAATTGAAATATAATCTCAGCATATGATTCATAACTAATTATTATTTTAACTTACTTTTTAAAATTATTAAAAAAAATTATTTTAATCTTTTATTTCGTATTTTATATCTACTTTTAATTAAATATTATATTCAGTCCCAATAAGACATTGTTTTTTTTTTTGAACGAAGGGAATATTTTTTAGAGAGTTCATTAAAAAAATTTTACACTTTTAGAATGTTTTTCAAGATACGTGCATAGACAAAATGTGCTAGAAAAAAAATTAAATAAATAATAATTGTGTTAGATCTACGAGTTTTGATTTCACAAAATATTTTTTACACTTCAAATTTTAAATTTTTATTATTTGAATATATATTTTTTTCAAAAAATAAATATAGAGCTTATATAGTAAAAAAAATTCGGTTTAGATCAAAAGAAAAAGACCCTGATCTACCATCCAACTGAGAATAACCATTTTCCATATATATTGGGCTGTCAAAATTCAATGAAAAGTTGTACCTAATTGCAATGTAGCGCATGTATATTAAAATCAAATAAATAAAAATCAGAGCTCTGTTCAAATTCCCATTAAATTTAAATTATGTAACTAACTGCAAAATTAACAAAATCAAGAATGTGGATATGAAATTCAGGGCTTACTTATGATTTTGTGCCCATAACCTGAAATTTATCGTAGAACTTGCCGACAAGTGTTAAAATTTTAAATTATCTAATATAATTAAAAATATATGTATTAAATATGATAACTTTTTTTAAAAAAAATTAATTCAATAATAATAAATAATATAAACAAAGTAAACTTGGGCAAGACACTTGACTCTCTTGAATAAGAATTTTTTTAAAATATTAATATTTGATATAATATTTTAAACATGACATTATTTTTTAAAAAAAGAATTCTACAGCAGCTTAGCTTTATTAAGGAGTACATTATTCGTAACGCAAGGGCACATAATACATTACTATACGCAGTTTCCAGTTATTTAATTAAATTAAAATTAAAGCTCCTGTCTGCCGGCGCCGGAAATGGTAGCAACGTTCTCGCCGGCGGAAGCAGCCTTGTCATCGGCGGCGATGGTGATCACTTTGGGCTCCTTCTTCTTTTCCCCTTGGGACAATTTGGGAATGGTGATTCTCAGCACTCCCGCCTCCATGCGAGCCTTCACCTTCTCCATGTCCGCGTTCTGCGGCAGCCGGAATTGCCGCCAGAATTTTCCGACGGTGCGCTCCACTCTGTGCCACCGGTCGTCCTTCTCCTCCGCCTCCTTCTTCCGCTCGCCGGTGACGCTCAGGACGCGGTTCTCCTCCACCTGGATCGTGACATCGTCTTTGGTCATGCCGGGGACGTCCAGGGAGATCTGATGCTCGCCGGCGGTCTCGCGCCAGTCGGCCCGGGCCAGGGCCAGGCCGGTCGTGTCGTCCGGCGCGGCGGCGCGTGGGATGGAGAGCGGGGAGTGTTCCAGAATCTTGAAGGGGTCCACGTCGGAGGGGAACATGGCGTCCCAGAGGGAGCGCGTGTACGGCACGAGGGCGGTGGTCATTGTTGGGAAGAGGAGGAAGAGGAGAGCCGAGAAGACGGCGGCGGCGGCGGTGGAGAGGCGTCTTGTTGATTTGTCAGCCATGATCGATCGATGATATTTCTTGATTCTTGATTCGAGTTTGCTGTTAACTGTATAGCTGCTGCGTCTGTATGTGTGTGTATATATATGTATGTATGTATAGATTTTGGAGTGAGAGAGAGGGAGGAGGGTGTAGGTGGTTCTAGAGAGAGGGATGGGGGATTCTGGAAGTGTCGGGAGAAGCGAAGACGATGCTCGTAGGTTGTAGGAGACTCGTTAAAATAATAATAATTTTTTTGTTTGATATATAATCTTGTGTTTTAGAAATACAATTTTATATTTATTGATGTAGTATATTGTTTTTATTATTATTATTATTATTTATTGTAACTTTACTTTGTGTTGTGCTAATAAATTTTCTATTTTAAAAAAGATTAACATAGTAACTGACAAATAATCTCACAAGCACTAGATGCGTATTCTAGAATTAATTGTTGAAAGGACTCAAAGTACTTTTTGATACAAATATTATCTCTAATAACTAAATATTTATTTGCTTTTTTACATAATTTTAAAAATATTAATATTATATTAGAATATAGTAGGAATAAAGTAAAAATGACTAAAATAATCTTATTAGTACGTGTGATATAAATGTAATGACATTTGTGTAATATATTGTAAGTTGTAAGAGTATTTGTAATGTTAGGTAGATAGTACCGTTATTAAAAAAAGAAATTGATACTTTGTTATGGGATGAACTAAAATGAAAAAATGAATACTTTGTAATGGGATGGAGTGAGTATATGAAATTGTCAGCCGCTACAATATTGAATTTAGCACTGTACTGAACATAACATGGTGCGTTGTTTGACAGCACATGATATTACTACATGCATACAACACACTATATATATACAATATTATACAAATACATCATATGAACAAATAACACATATTATAGTCTCAACAACACATTGTGTGCATACAATATTATTACCGATAATACATTGGATATGTTAATATAATACAAATACAACATATGAACTAACAACACATATTATAGTCTCATGTAATACACACAACAGTTAATTTTAGCACATAAATACTCTTTTACATCACACTTATTATTATAAAAAAAAAAAAAAAAAAACAGCACATACCATTATTATAAGCAACATGTGCTGTATGTAATAATATTGTGTGCTGTTTGTACATATAATGTGTGCTGACCTAACCATCCCCCTATGCAATTATGTAAAACTTTAAACATGTTAGAATTTTGAACTCCATAAATGGAACAATATGCTTAAGTTAGATAAGCATGTTTATAAATGCAACTGACATGTTTAGGTGAAGATATTATTGTATTTCTTCTCGAGCTCAAATGGCATTTTACCTTACAAATTTGTTATTGCAATGTAGAATTTCTATCGTTAATTATTCATGAATATTATTGGAGTATATTAATTTAACCAATGTCATATCTAATATACATGCTGAGAATGATTTAGGAGGGGTGGACATTATTTTCATTACACTTCAATTTTTGAAAACATAAATTTAAAGTAAACAATTTTCACATTTTACAAGCATATCATCAACAAGAACCTCACTTATGACAATTCAAGATGATAATATTTCACATTTATTTACATATCTAAATAAAGGCCCCTATTTATTTCTATCTGGGCCAATAATATTTTTTCGTTTTTGAATGTTACAAACAAAATAAATTGTTTTTTCTTTTTTTTAAAAAATTATTAAAAACTTAAACTTTCAAATTAAAAACACAATATAATATTTTAAGCAAGTTGCGTAAACAAACTTTAAATTTGTACCCATTTCCTTTGATTTCTAAACTACCTTGTAGTATTAAACTTGAATATGATTTAAACCTTAAATTTTGCCATTATACTATTAGATAAGACAAATAAATGGATATTATCAATTTACCGTGCAATCATCATATGTATAGCGTTTGGCCCTAATTTCTTTTGAATCGGTTGACGAAAGCGCTGTAGTTGTGAAGCGGCTGTCTGTCCGACGAACTACCCACCAAATCCCTTTCTCAAATTTGATACCCCTTTTCCTTTTCAGGTGGCGGGTATAAGTACTGCTACACTCCCTGCAACCGCAATTCATCTTTATCCAAATCCTCTTTGCTTCTGTGTAAGAAAGATTAATTAATCCATCGCTTTTTTTGGGGATTCTACTGTCGACGCCACTCTTACTGTGAAACCCACTTCGAAATTCCGCTGTTAGTGTATGCCATACGCGAAACCGGCCAGCGGCGGAGGCACCGGCAGCAGCGCCAGTCATGTCCGCGATGCTGCGTCACTCTACGTCCAGGGTACGCCGCATAGCCGCCGCCACGACGGTGGCCGTGCTTTGTTCAAGGACGGCCCCAATAGCGCATTCCTCAGCTCTTGATTGCTTACCGGCGGCACACCATGCCCTATTTCCCAGACCTTGGAAATTAGGGTTCCAGGAGCGGCACAAATGGGACGGGAGCTCGGACAATTATGATCAAATCAGGGCCGAAGTCAATTGTCCCCGCTGCTCCAAGCCTATGACCGTGCTCTTCTCCAACCGTCCGCTGTCCATTACCACCGGCGAGCACGGGATTTACCAGGCTGTGAACATGTGTTACCATTGTCGGACGGCGTTTTATTTCCGGCCTTTCAAGCTAGAGCCACTTCAGGGGAGTTTTATAGAGATTGGAACGGTTAAGAATCGGGGAGAGAATTTTAGGGATATGGAGAAGGACGGCGCCGGGAGAGGTAGTAATAATGGTGGTAAGATTTGGGAGAAGTTGAGGTCTTACAGTGGGAGTGAGAATAGTGAGAAGACTACCGATAGTGATGCTCACGGAGATGGTGATAGTAGCTGTAACATTGAGGATTCGGAGGGAAGGAGCACATCTTCGGGGGAGGGGGTGGGGAAAGTGGGGAGAGAGCTGCCTACACCCAAAGAGATATGTAAGGCTCTCAATGAATTTGTTGTTGGACAGGATTTGGCCAAAAAGGTTTGACTTTTTACTTGATGTTTGGATGTGATTTCTTGCATTGTTGATATTTGCTAGATAGATTTGCAGTGTTCTTGGCACAGAGTTAATTGTGGTTATAAAATAATTATGCCACTGGTGTGAAAAGAAAAAAGTAAAACTCTATTTCGATCTCCTTGTTGTTTTATTAGTGAAGTGCATTATGTGATTGAACATATTCTTTAGCTCTTAGTTAAGCGTGATGTGAGATATGAATTGATACCAATTCATGTTAGTAAAAATCTGGGTATGTGAAATATGACCAATCTATTAATTTATAAGTACAATAGATAGATTTTTTTAGAAATATCAATGTTTGCAGTTTTCAATTATAGTTTTTGATCCTATTGTTGGAATTGTTTCTGTTGAATGGAAGTTTCGTATCATATGATGTTGTTAACATGTCAGGTGCTTTCTGTAGCTGTTTACAACCACTACAAAAGAATAAACTATACCCTGGTGCATAAAGAGTGAGTTGTGTATCTTTGTACTTAGCTGCTTTGTTACTATTCTGGAGATTTAACTCTGTTTTGTTTATATAACTTTTATTCTTCCAAGTTGTTCAGCATGTGTTATATCAAATTATCAATGATCTGACATTCAAATAAAATAACTTGTGATTGAAATACACTGATGCCACCTTATGTATCGATTTTTTAGTGGATTACTTTCAATTTTTTAGCACTACAAAGAATCTTGTAAAGTTATTATGATACCTGTACCAATTATATTCCTATTGTGGTACTGGATAGATATGCAATGTTCTAGAATAACAGTTACATAATACTGATTTTTGGCACTGGATAATGTGTGATGGGTGCTGACTGGTGATTAAGTTTTATTGGGGTTGGCATAGTTTGCATCAAATTTTGAAATGATTGGTTACTTAGTTTACAACTTGGAAAAAATGGGTACCAAATTGATCATTTGATGGATTTCTTGCTTCTTTCTTTTTTTTTTTTTCTTTTTTTTCTTACTTACTTATATATATATTTATCTTTTATTATGGGCAGGATAGAGGGAAACATAAAGGTTACAATTGATATGTATAGTGTGTTTATGTTTGTACCTGTTGAGTTATTTTTGGATGAACACATTTTATGGACTATCAATTTTGGATTCTGCCTAGCCTTGTTCAAATGGCTTCAAGACCTTTGCCATTGTACTATTAACTACTGTGGGGTTGAGAAATAGACTGCTACCCGGTATCAACTAAAGTATAAAACGGTAATTGGTCACTGTGGTGAAAAATTGATGAAAACGTGGTGGTGTGACTGGTGCAAAGTGATGGAGTTGAACTGGCAGAGAAAGAAAAAGTTGAACCGTGTTCCCTATTTTTGTTGGGCTAATTATTGTCTTTTTTCCTTTCAATCTGAAGAATAATAGGTATCTTATTAGGCAAATATTTTTAGGGAGATTGGTTGCAACAGAATTTCAGTTTGGCCATCCGCGAACGAACTTTGCAAAGGAGCCCTTATGTTTTTTGGGCATTAAATTCTTACCACGTTTGCATTACTCATTTTGATTTCTTGATTCTGCTTTGTCCACACTTTGCTTGGACTGAGACTCCCTCTAAGTTGAAAATCCCTGCTCCCATATTAGACCCGATATGTTACGAAGCAGAAAATTCTTATTGAAGAACATTAAACATGTACGGAAAACATGAATATCTTCTTATCCTGCAAGGATACTCTCTCCCAAGTCCAAAACACTAATTCCGTTATTCAAATCCTTTATAATCCTAAAACACTAACCCTAACACTTGTTTATAGCTTATCTAAGAGTTAATATAAGACCTAAACAATAATGGGCTTGGCCTTAATATTATTATTCCTTGCAGTAACATTTTATTTTGTCATGCAGAAAAGTTCAAATGCAATGCATAGTCAGTCAATTGTTAATTATCCATTTTCATTTTTCATCAGGACAGGTGGAGAATCAGGCCATGCTGAGGCTGAATTGGATTGTTGCCATAATGATTTTGTTGAACTGGAGAAGAGCAATGTCTTGATGATCGGTCCAACTGGCTCAGGCATGCTATTTAGTGTTTTGGCTGTAGAAACAAATAATCTGATCAACTTCTGATCTGCTTCATGTGTTGGAAGCTCTCTTGGGAGGCATGCAAAACCATGGTACATACTATCCTGATTTATTTCTATCTTTGAGTTACAGGAAAGACATTGCTTGCAAAAACACTAGCTCGAGTTGTGAATGTGCCTTTTGTCATTGCTGACGCTACAACACTAACACAGGCAGGTTTGATATAGATTTAGTAATTTGGCTTTTCCTGGAGTACTTGTTAATGTCTTTACAGTGATAATTGCTAACTTTACCAATTCATCGAAGTTCTAATCTCTCTGGGTTGTGTCATCAGGCAGGCTATGTAGGAGAAGATGTGGAATCCATACTGTACAAATTACTCATGGTATGTGATATATAATAGTGGATCCCAGATTCGAAAGGCAGTCTTCAGGGTACTTTCCATATTACGAGGATGTACCCGAAGAAAACATGGCTTGTACCATGTTATATTTTGGGAGAGAATTTACAAGATGTTTATTAATAATGAAAATTAGGGTCTATTTATAGACCTTATACAAATAGAATAAACACAAATAATAATAACAACCTAATCTAGTAGATATGACTAAATAATAACAATTTAATCTAATAGATATGCCTAAATAATAGCAATAATCTGATAAATATGCTTAAATAATAACTACCAAATTTAAATAATATCATTCAAAACATCTATCTAAAATATATCTCATCAGTTTTCTTATATTAACAATTTCCTGCTTGCACTTCTATGAAGATTTTACATTGTATCCTTGTAGTCATTAGAAAAGAGGGAATGGTTGTGTCATAGCCAGTGAAGCTTGCCTGTGTTCTGTTATGTTTAAAAGTAAATAGGTTTTCTATTTGTGCAACATTAATAAAACTCAAGATTCATGTTTCACTTCACACATCTGTTTTCAGCTGTAGATGTTTTTTTACAATGTTGTTGGACAGAGTCCAGACAAAGGATGAATAGGAATATTTAATTATAAACAAGAAAGGAAAGAATCTCCTCCGTTTTGTTTTCTCTTGCCTTTGAAATTGTTATTATGACTCTTCTTTCTTATATTAACTAACTGAACTGTGTTGAAGTATTGTGGTGCATGTGAACAGAAAGAAAAGATGTAGGAGGCAAATAAGAGAAGTTCATTGAAAGCTGAATGCGTAAATTTCATCTGGAACATGATTCTTGAAACATTGTCCCTTGAAATGCATATGATTCAGTTTGTTTGAATCTTTCCTAGGATCTTGAAGTGAAAAATGGCAGTAGGGAATATTTAATTACTTGTTTACTTTTCTTTCTTCAAAATTCCAGTAAAATATATTGGCTTCTTATATGTTTGTTCCAGGCCGCAGATTTCGATGTTGAAGCAGCTCAGCGAGGAATTGTATATATAGATGAAGTTGACAAGATAACTAAGAAGGTATGGCAGATGTTTAGCACAAATGAGTTGAATGTCATGGGATCAGGATCTTTATTTATTTATTTCATTAATTTTTTGTTTCTGATTTCAGAATGAAAGTCTGAACGTTGGTAGAGATGTTTCTGGAGAAGGTGTTCAACAGGCACTACTGAAGATGCTTGAAGGAACTGTGAGTTATTCATTTATCAAGCTGTTCTTATCCTGTGGATTTTATCAAATATGGGTTGATAAGAATAACCACGTCCTTATATTTTTAGATTGTCAGTGTTCCTGATAATAGAAGTCCAAGGCATTCACGTCGTGACAACATTCAGGTATGTAGAACCTGAATGTTTCTTTATGACAAATTTAAGCTTGTTTGTTATTTTTTTTAATCATTACAACAATTGGCAGATAGATACAAAAGACATCCTATTCATCTGTGGTGGTGCTTTCGTGGATTTGGAGAAGACAATTTCTGAAAGGTAGTGAACCAATGCTAAACAATGTTTTGCGTTTGTTAACCTTTAACTTCCTTATCATTTTGTTTTAGACGACAAGATTCCTCTATTGGTTTCGGAGCTCCCGTCCGTGCCAATATGAGAGTAAATGGATTAAATTTAGCTGCAGCCTCAACACTACTGGAACAGGTGAGTTGTTATTGAATCATGTCGAAGATTATATATCTTATTTAACTTGGTACAATTCATTAACAATAAATAACCTGTAATTTATTTCCTGTATAAAATCAGAAATTGTCTTGAAGTTTAATTTTCCATTGCAGGTAGAGAGTGGTGACCTTACTGCATATGGGCTTATACCTGAATTTGTTGGGCGGTTTCCTGTTATGGTGACATTATCGGCTCTGGATGAAAGCCAACTTATTGAGGTATTCCTACCGTTTGTCATTTGGTACCTTGGAGGATCTATTTCTGCATATGGTGTTAGTCTTGAGACTCTAGGCTCGATCTTTCAGAATTAAACTCGCGCTTCATAATTTATTGGATTGGTGATCATTCTTTTGCTGTTCATTTCCAATTTTTCGCCCTTAATAGGGTCTGTGTTAATCAGATAAAACCTTCCCTCCTGTATCCAATTTTTCCTGTTAAAACATTCGTATTATCTGTAAGCTATTCTGGTTACCGATTAGTTTATTTATTTATTTAATCTTAAAATCGTATCTTAGGTTCTTACAGGGCCAAAGAATGCTCTCTGCAAACAATACAAGAGGATGTTCAGCATGAACAATGTAAGCCATGATTTGAAAAACTGTAAATTATTTTCACCACATCTAACATCAATGTACTTTTTGTCTTCCATTTATTTTCAAAATGAGTATCAGATGGCTCTTCTGTCTTCTTACCTAGCATTTAAAATCAGGTCAAATTGCATTTCACTGATGGTGCCATGAAATTAATTGCAAAAAAAGCAATTTCCCGGAACACTGGTGCGCGTGGCTTGAGATCCATATTAGAAAATATTTTAACTGAGGCTATGTTTGAGGTATGATGCACCTGATACTGGCCATTTTAATTGTTACAATTATTCCGTAGTATATTCCTGTACTTCTGCACACAATGAGCCAATACTCTGGGGGTGAAGTACCCAATAGCTTGTAGATTGACAAAATTATCGAAACTCTTTAACTTGACTTTGATGGTTCATAGGCTTCCCTGGTGACGGTGAGACTCTTTTACTTAGTTAAAGATTTTAAAAGCAAGACACAGAATCCCTTCATGTAGTAGGAAAATTCTTGAATTAAATATTGCGGAAATTTCACATCTATAATGGTTATATTTATCATTGCAATATATGCTTGCATTTCAGGTTCCAGGTACAAAATCCGGAGAAGATCATATTGACACAGTTTTGGTCGATGAAGAAGCCGTAGGTGCACCAGATACACCTGGATGTGGCGCCAAAGTACTTACCTCAAACGGGTTGGGAGAACAATCCACACAAACGAAATTAAAACCCACAAACGTACGATCCCTCTATTATCCCTCTGTTCTTTCAAATGATAGTTTTTTGTTGGATTAACTCTACATACCAACATTTCATCTTCTCCGGAGAACTGTTATTTTTCTTCTTACTTACATCCTGGGGCCAATCTCATGAACCTACAATATCATCGCTCGTAGACTTTCTTAAAACCACAGGACTAGCCAATACTTTTATGCGCTACGTGCATTGAGATTGATGGTCTGCATACCTGAATGGCATAGTGTGACCATAAGTATTTCGGGTTTTGAGCAGGAAGAGGAGGCGGCAGTGAAGCCGCGCCCGGTGGTCGATTTGGAGGATTCGTTGCCTGCCGTGAGCCTGTGATGCGATGAGATATTGATGTATTATTTTCCAGGGAGAGCAGGCAGAGGAGGAATGATGTACATATCATATGCACTTCACTTGGTAGCGTTTTCTTGATGAGGTAATAAAAAGATAAATATGTTTTCTTCGAAACTCAAATGTCTTATCACCATTTTTTCCTTCAATGCTCTTGGCCGATTCCCCCCATTGTCTTATTGTTTGTCTTTTATTTCTTAAACATAATATTTACTTATTTTTATCGATTTTAATAAAAGTATACTATTTTTCTTACTTATATATCATATTAAAATATCATTTAAATCAAATTTCAAATTGAAATATAAATCGGACCAAATACACCCTGAGGAGTTGCATAGTAAATAAGTAGAAATTACATTCCAGATAAAAAGAGCCATTGTTATATAACTTCGAAATGTTATAATGGGAATGCAATTAAATTGGATAAGCAACTCAAATTCAGTAATGTGTTTGTTCACTAGGTATTTTGGAATTATACAATTTTCTATAAATATTATTAAAAGTATATAATATACATATAGTAACATAATATATAATATATATTTTATTTATTTAAAAAATTAATAATTCAATACAAAATATTATTTTTTATATTATTAATGCAATTTTTCATATCTAATATAAAAAAATACTTTATCTAAAAATGCAACATAAACAAATCTATATTTTACTTGGATTAAGATTTTGATTTGAACGAATGAGTGTATTTGAGATGACAATATTCATTTTATAATTTAAACAAGGTACTTTTAATAATTCAAAATGATTAATAATATTTTAGTAGCAATATTTTATTTTTGATCAATCAATATTTTATTTTTGGCATATATTAGCATTGCCTAATCTTTAACAATTCATTACTCCCATCATTTTGTAACTCGATGGCCTGTTCTTTTCTATCACAAAAACTTGTTATGAATTTTTAACTAAATTGTTGCGACGGTGATTTATCGAACAATCTCCTTGGAACACCAACAAAGGACCAATTCCTGAAGCGTGGTCAGTTCACATTTAAAATAATCCCTTGACAACAAATAAAATGCATAACACAAAACAACATATGAGACAAGGTGTTTGTTGACCCGATTCGATTATCAACCAATCTACATCCGGGGGATTTCAATCCAGGAAATATTCTACTAATTGATTACAGAGTATAAACAATCATAACTCCTTCAACTCAAACTCCTATTATGGTCTACCTTGAAAAATACCTCCACAGGTTCACGCTGTCACAAACGCATACTGACAACGACCATATAGCAGAGCCGCTCAGAGTTTGATCATCCTCTCCGGTTGGAACTCCTTTAACTCCGATCACCGTCGACCTCTCCGACGGATTTTTGTGTCCAAAACTCATTCAAACTAAGGAAAATCGATATGGATAGAGCGTTAGAACTTCACTTAATATTCTTCTTTCTAAAGTATGGTCTCCAAATCACTCATCACCAATCTTTAACCCTATCCGGTTGAATAAATCACTCGCATTCATGAAATAAAAGATTCTACATTAATTTCTCTCTGCACCGAAATGAAAGGAGTGAGTTTCATGTTTTGACATTTCCTCAAATATTAACTTGGGGAAATTTTCACACACAAATTACTATTTGCTTGGTGTATTTATTATATTATTGTACACATCTGATTTGTTTCTCCAATTTTTTTTATACGATTTCAATATATATGTTTTATCTTTTCACAAAAAATAACATTCAGTATAATTTTTTTTATATATATATTACTAATACAATTTTCTATACTTCAAAAAAAAAAAATCTTCAAATCCAAACACTAAACAAACAATCCATTATCTCTATTCAAATATTGTCATTAATTTTAATTTGAGACATTTTAAAACATTTGCATTTTTATTACACTATTCTCTTTTACTAAACTAAATAGTAGAATTTATAAAATCATTCAAAATAAAAATGTAAGGAGAAATTAGTAGAAAATATTAAAATTAACTATCTAGTTCATAATTAGATAAGGATTTTTGTTTTTTTGAGACAATATATAATTATGGGAATAATTAGAGTGTTGATTAGATTAATCAACACTATACTATTAATACTAATCAATATATAAAATATAATTTGATAGTGTATGTTGTTTGTTATATTTTATACTATTTCCGTCCGACTTTAAAAGCCTCATTTATTTTTTGTGGGTTAATATTTGAATATAAATTATTATATCAAAATCTAGTACAAATTAAACAAAAATTACAAAAATACTTTATTTAGTATCTTATAACACTAATAGAAGGACATTTGTGCAAAAATAAAAAATAAAAAATACAAATACAAATATATTTTTGATGTTAAATACAATAACGCAAAATATAAATATTACCCTTAGAAGTGGACGAAAATAGTATGACATATATCTTATATTGTCAGTTTATAACTAAGATGTCATCGGCACAATAACAATGACATATAATTGCATATAATATGATGTGCAATATATTGTGTAATATATATATATATATATGCATAAATTTTAAGTTAAATGATGCATAAGGGATGGTCGAATTGGTTTGATAAAGTGATTGTAAGATTATGAAATTCAAATATTATCAACATTTTAAAGTTGAGCACGTGATACATGATTTCTTAGTGTGATTACTTAACTGATCTGATTTGCAAATTACTATCTTCTTCGAATGTGGAACTTTTACACAATTGTGTTTTTTTTTTTTTTTTTTTTTATGAGTTTGAAAAAAAAAAAAAATTGGTTTGAATTTGGTATAAAAATGATATTTGATGGGATGTTTTGTAAGAAAAAAAAAATATTTTTTTAAAAAAATGCAGAATTCAATAAATAAAATTTGGAAAAACTCAGCTAAAGAAACATACCCTAAAAAAAATACAAAAATAAAGAATGAGTGATGGATGGATTACTTTATCCAACTAGTTGAAACCAAAAAAAAAAGCACATTTAAGTTATAGGGGGAAGCATGTGAAGGCCATAGGCTTCAAATATCAGATTTGAAGCACACACAAATTCTACTTTTTGAGAAAACAAAAAAACAAAAGCCAATGGTTTGTCTTGTTGGTGTGTCTAGATGTGACACCAATAATATATATATATATATATATATGCACTTATTGGTTTGACATGTATACAGTACACATACATAATATATACACATAATATATACATAATTAATTTATATATGGCAAAAATCTGAGACTCATGCCATTTTCTAATGGACATTTTCATTTAATTTAATTTAATTGGCATTGAATTTGAATAATTAATATTGCGTTAATAAAGCTGTTTAGGCACCATAGTCACTGAAAAACCACCAACTAGGGTTTGAGTTTTAATTTCCATTGATGCACAATACAGCTGAATTGAATTAAGTTGGTGAAGATAGTGGTGAAATGAACTAGGGATGATGGAGGGTTTCTTTGTGAATTAATTTAATAATAATAATATTTGAATATTGATGGGGTGGGGTGGGGGTGGGGGTGGGGGTGGGGGCTAGTGTGTTCATCTTTTGGGCAACACAATGAGAATGAATGTTAATGGTGAAATTAATTAATTTGCAGAGGAATTGAGGAGATCGATCGATCGAGGGGTAGGGTTGGGGTAGGGGTAGGGGGGGTAGGGGCCTCCCAACATGTTCCAGACATGTTTCTTTGGTGAAAAGGTGAATCATTCTCACTCTTCTTTAACACAACACAGCTCCATCAATAAAAATCATGTCCACATTTCTCTCTCTCACTCCCTTTCACAAACACACGTACAGAAGAACAACATATATATATATATATTGTGTATGTATCATTTATGTATATATGTTGGAGTTTCTTTTTCTGAAGGTATATATGTCAAGACAGATGAAATTAGTCAGTTGCACTCAAAGATATATATAAAGATAGATAGATATAGAAAACCAAATAAAGGAGATGCACTACTACTGGACAACTAATTAATATTTGCTCTCATTTACCTTAATATTAAAAATATTTTTATATTTGTATAATTTTTTTTTTATAAATATCCGCATTTTTGTAACTTTTTTTAAATTTATATTATATTTTAATATAATAATTAATATTTAAAAATTAATACGTAAAAAGTAATATTGCTCAAAGAACATACCAATATATATATATCTAGAGAGAGAGAGAGAGCAGAAAGGGCATTAAATTATTTCATTTCCATAATCTATACATACATTTATATATATATATATATGCTGCAATATTCTATCACAATTTTCCTATTGCATGCATGCATGGCTACACTTAATTTTCATTATATATAAATATATATATAAATAAACTCCCCTCAATTACTCTACCCATCAGTACAATTTTTGAATTACAAATACAGAAAAATTACAATTAAAATTATAATCATACAACCTCGTTCAAACGATACACATTATTATTATTAGTACTAACATTAATATCTCCGGCGTCTTTATCTTCGTTCTCCGGCGGAAACGTCGCCGGAATATCCTCCCGGCGGTTCTTGGAATACCATCTCCCCCAAAACAGATAGTTGAGGAAATTTAGAAAGCTCAGCCCCGCCAGCAGCCAATAGAACAAATCCAATCTGTCTTTATTCAGATTGTTGTCCCCCAACCATCCTCCGCCGCCGCCGGCCGGCGACCGCGCCGCTGTAACCTTATTAACGAGCGAGACGAGGACGGAGCTCAAGAAAAACCCAAACGAATACGAACAATAGGTAACGGCGGTGAGAAACGACTGCATCATCATCATCCCCTTCATCGCCGCCGCCTGTTTGTAGAAGAACTCCACCAGGCCGACGGCGGTGAACATTTCCGACACCCCGAAAATCAGGAACTGCGGCGCGATCCAAAAAATCGACAGGCTCCGATTCTCCGAGACGGCGGCGCTCCGCCGCCTGCTCTCCATGACGGCGGCGGCGACCATGGAGAACGTCCCGAGGAACAGGCCGGCGCCGATGCGCTGCATGGCGGTGATGCCGGAGGCGTGGCCGGTGAACCGGCGGGCGAAGGGGACGAAGAAGGCGTCGTAGAGAGGGACGAGGAAGATTAGCAATAAATAAGGTATGGCCTGGAGAGACGCTGGCGGGACCTTGAAGGAGGAGCCGGGGAGGCGGGCGTCCATGGCGGCGCCCTGCTGGACGGAGAAGGTCTGCAACTGGGCGAGGAGCGTGTTGAAGACGATGGTGCAGGCGAAAATGGGAAGCATTGAGATGAGGATCTTCACCTGCTCCACCTGCCCCACGCTGCACAGCCGCCATGGACTCTCCTCCTCCAAGTTCTTGATGCACCCTTTGTTTAGGAATCTGAAAATCAAACCACATCGTACCCTCGATCGTTATTATTTACATACATATATTAAAATAATAATTTAATTAGACATTTGAATATTTATTATAATTGAATTTGATTGGATTTGCTCAGTAGCAAGCACATTAGATGATAGGAATCGATCGGGTGCTGGGGTCCATGGAGCTCCAAAGAAAATCGTGTTCTACCCTCTTTAACAATGTGTATATATTGATCAAATACAATACAAATACATATATATAAATAAAATAGTGGAGTATTATTTATTTATTTATTACCTAAATCTTTGAGTGAGTTGAAGATTGGGGTTGTCAGAAAGATGGTCCTTTTGGTAGTTTCCTTGAAGCATCCGAGGATCAGATGGACAAACCTGCTTTCTCTTTAAAATTGCAGCCACAACCACCTAATAATGGAAACTAAATTATTCAAATAAAAAAATAAATTGAAGTAGATTATGAGCAAGCAAGATGCCAAATCTTCCGACATATCTCAATCTTATAATGCTTAATTAGTTAATTTGTCACATTAATTAATGGTAAGAAATTAAGCAATCCTTTCTTTCTTTTCCCAAGACCATGAATCACAAGACAACACATGTAATTTCTAAATAACCTTATTTTATTCAACAACCCACCCTGCAGGATCATAGATACATATATCTATATATATATGCAGCCATAAGCAAACAGGATCAAACAGTTCCCATCACTAGTACAGAAAAAGCCACAATTCCCACAATCAAACATTTTATTCATAAAATAATACTAATAATATATATATACCTCTAATTATTGTCATAAAAAAAAATAAAAAATTATATATTTATTCTTACCTGAGCAATAGGTGTCAAGATGCTGCCCTGAGGAGGTTTATTCCGGTAGAAAAGCGTGCCGGAGATGAGGGCGATGAGTCCCATGGCCATGGCGGCGGCGGAGACGCCGAAGCCGACGTCCATGCCGGAGTGTGTCTGGACATAGACGAGGAGAGTGAGGGCGAGGAGCTCGCCCACGGAGAAGGCGAAGTAGGCAGCATTGAAGTATCTGGACAGGTTTTTGGATTGCTTAGGGTTGTCCTGACTGAACTGGTCTGCGCCATGGGCAATCATGTTTGGCTTCACGCAGCCGCTCCCCAACGCCACCAGATAAAGGGCAACGAAGAATATCAGGGCCTTGAACCCCGTCGCCTCCTCGCACAACACGCCCGTGTTGGTCATCATCGTCTCGCATTTTGGGGGTTTCAGCTGGGGAAGATGAGCTTGGACCGACAGCAAGATAAAACCCTACAAGGATAATTAATTAATTAGTCAATTGATCGATTTAATTAATTAGTTAGGGATTGATTGATTGATGGATTACGGAGAGCTCGAGAAAGGCGAAGATAAGCATGGTCCAGAAGCAGCCGAGGTGGGAATCGGAGAGGTAGCCGCCGAGGAGGGCGAGGAGGAAGACGGTGCCGACGAAGTTGGTGACTGTGTTGGCTGATTTCGAGAGGGAGAAGTGCATCTCGTTTATTAAGTATGTTATCAGGTTGTTCCCCACTGCTGCTATCGCCATTATCTCGAATCCTTGCACTCCTGCACATGATCCAATCTTAATATCAATATATATATATATAGAGAGAGAGAGAGAGAAACAGACAGACCTAGCACAAAGGCTGCAGCTCTCATTCCGCCATGCTTAAGAGGGTTGGAAGGTCTTCCTCTCCAATCCACAGTCATCATCTCCTCAACTCTTTCTCCCTTCATCATCTCCATTAACACACACTAGTTACAGTCAACACTACTCTCTCTCTCTCTCTCTCTCTCTCTCTCTCTATAAATATATATAACTGCAAGAAGAATCTAAAGGCGACGAGCTATAACTGCGGCAGTTAATTAATATATATATATAGTCCGTATCTAAGGAACTCCTTGGATCCACTCCAATAACTTTCTTCTTATATATATATATATATATGTATGTATGTATATTATCGATCAGAAGTGAAGAGAGGTAGATAGAATAGCATTTGCAGGAATGGTATGGTATTTTGTTTGTTTGTTTATGCTGAATTCAAGGAGAACACTCTCTCCACTTTATATAGGCCTCTCATCTCATCTCTCTCTTTCCAAAAGGTTCTTACCAACAGCCACCACTCCCCCTACCCCCACCCCACCCCCCCTACAATTTTCAACACCACTGCCGCAGCTAATAACTTTCCTTCCTTCTTTCCCCACTTGTGAAAAATTACATCATCACACACAGACAGACACACCATTGTATGTATGTATGTATGTGTATTGGGCTTTCAAGCTTTGGATGAATGGAGGAAGAATGACTTTAACATATATAAATATTAAATATAATAATTAATGGATATTGGATGGTGCCTTTTTTTCTGCCGCCTACCTCGCTCTCTGTGGGTCAATCAATATATTTATATTTAATTAATTTGAAATGTACTGTACATACATATTTGGCTGTCTTTCAACTTCAACGTCGTTCGTATATTATAAATATGTATGTATGTCACAATGCCGACGTGTCTTCACATGCCACTGACACACCTGTTTTTCTTTTTACTTCTCACTAAATTTCTTCTTTTATTTTATATATAAATAAATAACTGTTGATTAGATTCGGGATAAACGTTGGTTTTACGTTTTTGCCAGGAAGGACTGCAGCTCTCTCTCTCTCTCTCTCTCTCTCTCTCTCTCTCTCTCTCTATGTATATTTAGAGAGAGAGAGGCCCGCCAACTCCATACTTGAGTCTAATCTAATCATTGTTAAGTATATATTTTGTTATTTTATATGTTAAAAATAAAACAAATATATATATATATATATATGTACGATTCAGTAAGTATGACTTACTAAATTGTGCAATGCAATAAAGTGTAGCTATTGGGTTAGTGTCTATGAATAATATGATTCTCTATAAATATTATAGGATGTTATATAATTTGGAACTATTAATGATTTTATGACCAAAATTATATTGACATTATTATAGTACAATATAGCAATCCATTAAAAAATGAAATAAACCAAAGTGTTGTGGTCCTTACACAAAGAAAAATGAAAAAATGAATTTATTAGAAAAACAGAATATAATACTTGACCGATTCTTGTAACGAACTTTCTCCAAAATTTCCATTATATCAACTGAATAAACATATTTAAAATGTGCTTTTTAAAAATAAAAAAATAAAAAATATTAAAGGCTTTAAGTTATGTTGTTTAGTAGGACTGCAAAAATATATAAATGAGAAGTTCACAGTTTTAATCTTAGTAAGTTAACGCATAAAAGTTTAAATTATAATATTTGTAAAACAAAATAATATATTTCTCTTATAAAAGCATGAAAATTGTATAGTTACAAAATAGGAGGAAAAAAAAGGTCACTGAAAGTATCTACAATTAATTAAATTCACAAAATTCAATTTTATTAAGTTATTCGAGGAAAGATGCGCAGAATGGCCCATGTCGGATATGGAGAATGACCGTCTTGCATAAAAGCTCAAGCTATTAGAAAAATACATCATTAATATATTTATCCGCAAACGAGAGCCTCAAAAGACATAAAATAATATGATTTTATTGTTGTTGGATATTTTAAATATTCAGTTTTATTAGATTTAGTGAATTTATATTTAGATTTGATCTAGATATCTATCGAACTGTTTTGTATTACTTATATATAGGCTCTTTATTTTGATGATTAATAAGACAGTCTTATTATTTTTCCCCAAAATTTCTAACGGTCAGCGCATCATAAATATAATATAATAGACATATGCAATTTTAGTTGAAACTATGTGTTAGACAATTTTATTTGTAAAATGTGTTGCAGTCCTACAATTGGGTTAGAGACCCTTTTGCTTGGTGCAGTAGTAGTCCACAATATTTTCTAATACACCACATTTATATATATATATATATATATTTATATTATTGGATGAACATTACTGCCCACATCAAGAAAATAAACAAGTGCACCCACAAACATATATAGAATAATAATGTATTTATATAATAGTAATAATTATAAAGTGAATAAAATTTTATGAGTGGGGTTGGACCAGCCATTGACTATTTCCCACCACGCACCCTTTTTCCATTTTTATTTATTTAAATAAGTCCATTTAATTTAATTTTGTTAGCACGTAAATATTATGGGAGTGTCAATATATATATATATATATGAAGAAGGTTTTTGTGCCGAGAGAAGAGCTGAACCTACCCTACCACATGGACACATTTCCAAGTGCTTTCATCGTCATATACATATACATATACATATATATATATATAGAGAGAGAGAGAGAGACATGGATGATGCATGCATCTGATCTGTGAGTTTGGATGTCGGATTGGCTTCCCAAACCCTACTATCTTTTTAATATTTTTTTTCTTATATTTAATCAGACTCTCTGATACTATGTCGAATGCTGAATGATCGTCTCATCTAAAAATTTAAATTATTAAAAAAATTAAGTCATTATTCATATATCCGCAAATGAAAATCCTATCACTAACAAATAAATTTTATATATGGAGTGGATATATGAGAATTGGTTGCTTTTTGTGGTCTGAAAAGAAGAAACCCATAACTCAACTAGTCAGCCCTTCATAGTTCATCCCCATACTCCCATATCCATTTATATAATTTATTAATTTATTTTATTTATTGTACATGTGCATGTGCATGTGTATGCATGTGCCGATTTCATGGAACTGATATATATTAAATAAATAATTATATATATATAGCAAAGGCGCAGCTGAGCTGGCAGGGCTCTGCGCTGCGCTGCTTCTTTCATTTCATATCTCTAATTAATTAATTAATGTGAGGATAATTTACAATTATCTCAGTGCGTGTATTTGACCGTTGTATGTGTGCTGTGGATGGGATTTTGACTTATTTATTTTTTTATTTTATTTTATTTCCATTAATCCCATGATGACATATGTACATTACATACATACGTGTTTAATTTGGTCAAATGCTATGAAAATTGTTGCTTCAATTTCGACACGTTTGTAGTGTTGGATTTGGATTAAGAAGATTTACCTTATATTCTTCTTAGCATGATTTTAATTTTTTAAATATAATAATGCTCCAAATATGCATGTTTCGGATTCTTTAGGATATTTGAAATGATTCAAAAATAATTTTTCGTACATTATGGGAGTTGAAAAATTAAATAAAATAACATAAAATTAATAGTACAAAAAATGATCGTCGCATCATGCACAGTGCAGAAATAATCACTAATATATTAATTGTTGGTGTTTTTTTTGAGTATTTTGTTCTCAATTTTTTCATAATTTAATGTTTTTTATTTTTATTTGAAAATTATTAATTGAAAAAATAATAAGGGGTTGCATTTGTTGGAGGGTTGGGATTTTGGGTTTGAGTTTTAAATAATAAAATTTTAAATTGAAATAATGTTTGATATGATATAAATAGATGTTGATGTAATCTTTTAAATATAAAATTTATTTTTATTATAATATATAAAAAAAATGTTTGATTTAAAATTTCTAGCGAAAAAAAATAAAAATTCATAAATAATATAAAATATCAAGACCTAACACATGTGTTTGGTTTCTAATGTATTTACATTTTGAATTTATATAGTAATTTTTCTTTATGAGTTACGTAATTTATTTTTTAAAATAAGAGAATTAAAGAGTAAGAAAGAAAGTTACAAAAATAATATTGCCTAAATAATTAAATGCACTTAGTAATTTAATGTTTACTTTTTAGTATTATTCATTTTTTTTACTTAAAATTAGTAAATTAAATATTTACTTTTTATTTAATAAAATATATTAAAAAAACTCAAAATATCATATTCCTCAGTTCGGAAAATATATTCACTTCGGGTTTGTTCGTTTGAAGAATTTTACCAAAATCCTACTATTCATCCAAAATTTTTTTCCCCCAAAAACATCAAATCAAACACCTATTTTTCATTTTTTATATTATACTAAAAATTAATTTGACATTCAAAACATCACATCAACACCTATTTATATCACATCATACAACTATTCAAATTCAAAATTTTTACTATTCAAATCTCAACTCAAAATCCAAACCCCCAAACAAACACACCCGAAGGAAAGAGCATAAATAAAAATAAAAAATAAAAAAAAAGTATAAATATACTAAACAAAGAGAGTATCAAATTAATTTGTAATTTATTTTATTGTGATTTAAAATAAAATGTTAAATTTAAATTTTTGTTCAAATAATATTTTGATATGAATTGAAAAGAACAAACTCAATCAATTAATTTAAAATATGTTACTGTCTAAATCCTCAAACAAAGACCCAAACATTATAAAAAAAACCATACCCTAAATAATAGATAGGTTTAGGTGTAGAAGAAGCTATAAAATGGAAATTTTAGTGTTGGACCTACGGGTTCCCAAAAGGTGCGGAAACTTTAAAAGAAATTATGATAGGTTTGTCATTTAAAATTATGTTTTTTTGTCTTTTTTTTTTTTTTTTTATTAAGTTGTTATAAAAAAAAAAAGTTGAAAATTATTGTTTTTATTTTAAATAAAAATATTCTCTCTGTCCATGTGCAAAATTGTCGTTTATTTTTTACACGGTAGTTTTTTTAATATTAGTATTATAATAGGTTGTAGTGAAAAAGACAAAAATACCCATATTGGTATTGTGTAATATAAAAGTAATGACATTTGTGTAATATAGTGTAAGTTGGAACGATATTTATTATGTTAGGTAGGTAGTACAATTACTAAATTATGAAATGATAATCTTGTTTTGGGAATGACGAAAATAAAAAATAGCAACCTTTCAATGAGACGGAAAGAGTATTATTATTTTTAATTATAAAAGAAATATATATATATATTTGTTTAAATTCGTAATCGATCAAATGAATTGATGACAAAGAGTATATGATATATTTCGTTAATTTTCTATTGTCCTAAAGTATATTTGCATGATTTTTTAGGTAATTATCTTTTTTGTATAATCTTTATGGTAAGGTAGATATTAAAAGAGATAAATGAATGAAAAGTAAAAAATAAAATCT